TGTTTCTATTTTCTAGTGATTTTATTTTGTGTTTTGAAAAGTAGAAAATTAAAATCATCCCGTTTCTTAAATTTAGTAAATCCCGTTTCGACCATGATACAAAAAAACGCCTCGTATTTCAATTTTAAAACGAAAATTAAATATCCGTTCGTTTTTGAATATCCATTTGTGAAAAGAAAATCCAATGACCAAAACATACACTGACCCCTATGGCAGTTTAAACTGTATTTCCTTTATCCTGTAATATGACTTGATAGCTTTAAACTCCGCACACAGAGCTCTGATTGGTCAGCAGGCGGTGCTTTCACTGAGTTGATCTCTTATCTATATAGACGCCGCAGTCGGGCAGCGCCAGGTAAAAAAAGTTATGTAGCCTTCCCAAACCAGAGCCTCACGGGCCGCCTATGTATGTACAGTATATTAACTGTTTATAAAAAAACGTTTCAATAGTTTTATTTTTAACTAAGGTGCAATGCATTGTTTACATGCTGCTGTGAAAAAAAGCAATTTCCCAATTTGGGATCAATACAGTCCTCTAATCTTATTTGATCTCATCGCTAACTCAGGTTAGTAACTCTGCCCACACAACAGGGATGGGATGTCCTAGCCCAGGACATCCCATAACCGAGGTTACGGGTGGCGCAGTGGTCTGTGCATCTGATCATCAGATCAAGGGGGGTGCTGGGGAACTCCAGTTCGAAACCCGCTCCTGCCGCCACTGCGTCAGGCCGTTGTGTCCTTGGGCAAGACACTTCACCCGGATTTGCTCCTGTGGGTATTGTCCACAGTACATGTATGATATCAATGTGTACTTGTAAAAGCGCCTCGATGACTTCGAGGCGTGAAGATGGACGGTGTGGCGCAGTGCGCTGTGCAATGATCATCAGATCAAGGGGTGAAACCCGCCGCTGCTGCGTCTGTAAAGCCGTTGTGTCCTTGGGCAAGACACTTCACCTGAACTTGCTCCTGTGGGTATTGTCCACAGTATCTGACCATTGCATGTATAAAAAATATGTGTAATGTGTATTTGTAAGTCGCTTTGAGCATCTGGAAAAGCGCTATAATAAATGTAAAGAATTATTATTATTATTATTACAGACAGAAGTGTCCCAGGACTCCTGAGACACTTCTGTCTGTAACCTCGGTGTGTAACGCCACAGTGGCGGTTCTACGGGATGGCAGCTGCCACCTCAGAAAAATGCCTTGCCACCCTAGTTGCCACCCCAGTTGGCAGCTTTGTTTTGAAAGAAAAGTTGTGGCTCATCGGAAATTTATGAGAGAAAATCTCTAATGTCCGAGTGCAAGTGAATGCAGCACAAGACGCGAGCCTTGTAACCCCTCCCCCGGCCCTGGCGCGAGGTTGAGGCAACAACATTAACATTAGCCTTTCTGCTGGTCGCTTGTTAGCAGACCCTTCACGCGATGGCAGAGCGAACAGGTACAGGAAGGGCCCATAGTGATAGCCCTATAGTTTAAATCTACTACCCACAAATAAACATATGGACATGGGTTACTATTTTTTTTAAATGGTTAATGTATTTAGGAACCTATCCATGTGATTTTAAGTGGGGGTGGACCTCAAATCCTCTAGGGGGTCCGGGGACATGCTCCCCCAGTAGATTTTTTTTAAACGTTGGAGTTAAATGCATGCAAAATAAAGAGACTACATCTATGAGAACACCTATATGAAACAGAACTGTATACATTTCAATAATCATAAAATCACTTAACAGGCCATGCCATCGGGAAGCCCCCCGGTCCTCCCGATGGCCAGTCCGGGACTGGGCACAGGAGGCATAGAGCGAGGGATCATTGTCCACAAGTTAATCGATCGCAGATGGCGTCGTGGTCACGGACGAATAAAAATAAAAATAAAACTTAGAAAAAAAAAACGAAATGGGTCGCGAAATATACTTGGGCGGCCGTTAATATACCTGGGCGGCCCGCCCAAGTATAGTCTATGTGTGGGAAACCCTGAACTGTTTGCAATGAAGTTGTGTGGCGCTGAACTGTTCCTTTGATTTATGATAGTAATTACTTTCAAATTTGAAGGAGGCGAGCAAGCATCTTGAGGAACATTCATCATTAACTCCTGAGTGGAGCCTCGCAGTTTTTCAGCTTGATATGTGAAGCTCATTAGATAGCCAACATGTATCTAGCAATGTTTAGCAAAATATTAGAAGTGAGGCTACTAGACTAACGTTAGGCTTACTGTAATAGCCTCACTTTTAATAGTTTGCAAAACATTAGCTAGCACTAGTGTTTTGCAGTTGCTAGCAGCTTATTGGGATGTTATGCTAGATAGACAGGCATTGTTTTGATATAATAAATTAAGCAGTATTGTTAGTTAAGCATGTCAGCCTGCAGCCCCACTTTTAACTCTCTGTCTCTCTCTAAACTCATTGTAGATGGCTGCACTAAAGAAAAGGGCACAGAGAGGAAACCAGTTGTAAGATGTTTAAAAGTTCATTAAACATAATATATGCTTAAATGCATTTCAAAGAAGTTGTGTTGAGTTGTGTTGGAGTTTGTGTTATTCTACATTTTGACACCAAGATTTTCTGATTTTACTGCAAATGTATATCGGTTCCAAATATCGGTTATCGGTCTCCTTGATTACTAATAATCGGTATCGGTATCGGCCTTGAAAAACCATATCGGTCGATCCCTAGTACTTATTGCAGCAGTCTGCATATATTTGGTACTCCTGCTGGTCTAAGAGTGAGACAAACTCATTCAGTTAAAATTCATTCAATTATGTCTGCCACCTTATATTCAATTTAAGGCTTTACTGATGTGCCACAATAATATGTCACTAGGGATGCTCCGATCGCCGGAATCAGTATCGGCCGATACCGATCGCCGATCCGATCAAGTGGGCGGGGCCTAAATGGAAGATTTAAACATCACTTTAAATCTTCCATTTAAAGTGATGTTTATAACTCAGTTAATGGGGCTCATTCACTGGAGCTTCCACAACAACAATCAACTTAATTATTACATTCAAATGATGTACATTATTCAAGTTTACATTCACTTTGGATAATAACACGGGAGAAATTAGCAGAAGCACTCTCTTTCCCTCTCTCTCTCCCCCCTCTCTCTCTCTCCTGACAGCCTGTCAGTATCTCATGCAGCTCACTGATCCAGTAATGAGTGACCCGACAGTGAAGAATAAATATATTTATAATAACTAGTTTAGCTTGTTCCAGAGGTAGATCAAATAGCTAAGTGTGTTAGGTCTAACTCTTGTGTGTTTCGCTCCGCTCACCGGGTCCGTCACAGCGGGCGGAGCTGCAGGATTTCTGCTTCACACACGTTGCAATCCGCTATTTTACTGTCTTTTTCGGACACCTTGAAATACTGCCAGACCGGGTGAAGCCATTTTGGCGAGCTTGTTTTGCCGCACACAGAGAAAAGTGTCATGTATTTTACGTCATGCGATCGGCATGTTTAGAGAGCACCGATCGATCGGTAGTAGAGAGTGAGTATCGGCCGATCTCGATCGGTGACCGATCGATCGGAGCATCCTATATGTCACCTAATGTTATTGAGTTAAAATATAAATATTGTGGCTTTCCAAGTTAACATTGATTGATATGACTGCGATTAAATCAACATATACTTCTGCCAGGGGATGCCACCCGTCAAATTCTCCTGCCACCCTCTTGCCACCCCATGAATATTTTCTAGATCCGCCCCTGCGTCACACTCACCCCTTTCTGCAGCTGATAGGTCCCACAGGCCAGGAGGTGTTGCATGGAGGACAGAGGACACCACTCCGCCGTGTCGGCGCTCAGCTCGGTGTCAAACACCTGCAGGTTGCGGGTCCTCGACTTCCAAGCCATGGCCCCCTGCTTTGCATAACGTCACTGTGCTGGTGCAAAAACTAAAAGACAAAAGTTATCCCGTTACGTCTCGACTGTATAACGAGTACACTCAGATATATCTATCTAGTAGTACATAAAACCGTAAGCAATAGTTTAAAGCTAACTTCGAGTAAACTAAATCTGAGCTAACTGAATAATCTGTGGTAGAAATAGCTAGCAGGCTATAACGTGATTTCACTTGCTGGAGTATCACACAGCGCTAACTGTCAAAAGTAAATACCCTCACAGTGAGCGGATATTCAACTGGTACACAAAGATAGCAAAGTTAAGTTAACATTTGTTTAACACTTAATATCAACAGGACAATTATCAACAAAACTCACATGTGAGCCAGCTCCGAGACGACAGCTTTTTACGTAGTTACGTCATAGTTCAGACGCAACAACATTGCCCAACCCAATTGTAGGCACGTTTTATGTTGAAGGGCTGCACCGGAAGTTCTAGTTAATGGTCACGATCTTCATGAGTAAAAAAGTGATCTTTTTACATCCATGGTAGTAGTAGGCTGTCTATATTTTAAAACTGTCTTTGTATGGCTTTCTAATTTGTTGCATTGCTAATGCCGCTGCCTTCAATTTTGATACATTTGATGGGATGTTTAATAATATTGGATGTACTCTGCCAGTTCCAATATGCAGTAACATTTACAAATGTCACTGTTATAGTTTTATCGTCAGTGTACATATTAGTCGGACATTTACAGTCGGACAGCACGTTTCCGGGAAAATGTTCAAAATAAATCTTAAAAGATTTGAAGGCAAAACGCTGTTTAATGGTGGCATCTGTTGGCCAACTGTTGGTATTGCATATTTAAAATGAAAAGCAAGACCATACGACTAATGTAACAGTTGCTCAAGCCTTGTGTTACTGCTGTAATTTATAAAATATATAACGATATTTTTTCTAAAGAAACTCGCCTGTAGTCCAATATTTTGCTTTTAAAATGTGGCAGAGCGATGCGTGTTTGAGGCATGGTTTGACGCTCCTAGGGCCATGACGGTCACGTGATCTTTGCAGTTTAGCTGCGTATGCCACAACATCCAGCCGTGTCGAGTGCTAGTAGTCTGCTTCGAGTCAGTGTATGACCACAAGCAAGCAGATACAAACATAATGGATTTCAACGTGAAGAAATAGCCTCCGGTGCTGGAGTGTTTTTCACGCGGGCTGTCCAGGTAATGTAACCCTCGTGCACAGTAACATGGCTGTGGTTCGGCTGATGATGCTTCCTTTCATTTTGACAGCCAGCTGTAGTGACGCTACTCAGGGACTGCTGTTGGGTTAACGCTACCATGGCTATTGCCCTAACAAGCTAACATAACGCTACCTATTAGCATAGCAGGAGGATACATTACTTTATATTCAGCTTGGAACAGTCAAGGCCTACGTTTTACTTTAATTAAACACAGGCTGTCCAAATACTGTTTGCCATAGGCGTTTACTTGTTAATGTAACGTTATATCTTAGGCCAAGCATGTGCAGGCTACCAGTCTCTAGTAACCATTATCATAAATCAGTTAAAATACCTCAGTAAAACATGAAACGTTGTTGTAAACTTAATGTGTAGACAAGTTTGAGGGTGACTGAATAATGAGCTGTCGTGAATGCTGTCCCTATGTTTTCATAATAATTGATGAAAGCTTGACGCTATGGAGCGTTGTACGTACTTGTGTGTCAGTTTGGCTGTGTTGCTGTGCCTCAGTTCACAGAGGAGAAGCTGGGCCAGGCGGAGAAGACGGAGCTGGACGCTCACTTTGAGAACCTGATGATCCGCGCAGACTGCACCAAGCTGTGGACGGAGAAAATCTACAGACAGACTGAAGTCCTGCTGCAGCCCAACCCAAGTATGCCATCACTACACCAGTCCTATCATTAGAGCTTTAAGGAGTATTCCAGAGAAGGCTACATATTATCTCCAAGCAGAACTAACACTCTGCTGAAGTTGTATTGTCAGATAATTGATTTGTTTAGCAGTTATTATGGGAAATAAGTTATAGTCTGCATGCCCTCTGCAGTGTACATGTTATAATGACAAACAAAAAGTAATTTATTTCACATAAATGGATCCCCCTGCAAACCTGTTGTTTAACTTCAGTAGTAGTAGTTCTACATGACGTGAGGGCAGATTAGTCATCAGGTCTTACTCGTCCAACACGCAGAGTGCTTCTGGTAGGGATCTTCTTATTGTGTATTAATATATAACTCTGAGGTGCTGTAAACACTGATGATCCGAGTCTTGCTGCCCTCGTATGCCTGCAGGACAGGTCCAGTTTAAGTTGTTTAAGTTGCTGACGGTAAAGTTTAAATAAAAGTTAGGTTCATATTATAATTCACCAAAATGTACTATGTATCCCTTGGGTATGAAAAACGTGTTGAATATTTGTTCTCATTAAATCTCAAGGCCAATGCTCTGAATATTCAAAATGTTCATCATTTTTTAGCTCCATGTTATCGCAGTCTTTTTCCCTTCATTTTGTAACAGTGTTGTCTCTCTGTGCACAACGGCTGATAACTGTTGATCAGCAGAATATCTTAAACCGACGGCAGGAATGTGTCTTACGTTGCATGCTTGTGCATTGTCATGCACATGCACAATACACACTAAAGAATGACAAGCCTTAAACAACTTTAAATGATTCTCAAAGTAGGCACCTCTTACCACCTGTCAGTCAGCATAGTTGCAACACATCGTGCAAGAAGTTAGTGGCAGGTTATTTGTAAGAACGCCTATAATCAAAGAGGTCAAACACTAGGCATATTATTATTCACACTGTGGGTTAACAGTGATATGGAATGACATGCTAGAGAATAGGGAACTCTAACATGTTACTTTTTGATTCTCCATGCTACAGTCGATCACACTGGTAAGTATTCTGCCTCCCTATTTTAGTGCTGTGTTGTGGAAACCTCTCATGTCTTTGAGTTATTAGCCATAGTAATTAGTAATTGATTAACATGACCAAAACCCATTCAGATATTGGTTTGCTGCAAAAATACATGTTGAAGGCTCAGGGATGAGGATAGTGGCACACACTGATTGTTGACCGGAATATGCTGTACAGGACATTAGTATTGATACATTATACCAAAGGGGTTTTTAATGGTTTAACCTTAGCCCACTTTTACTTTGCTATAAAGCTAAAGCATGATATGCTGGTATTCTGTCTGTACAGTATAAAAAAGAAGAACAAATGTTTATCCCTGGTTTTGGGCATTTTAGATTTGAGCACCTACAAACTTAAATACGCAAAAAAACCTCTGTTGCATTCCGTCAAAAATCAATCCCTTTATGACCTCATCTCTTTTGAGTAAAACACATGTTTTGCTGTGTGTTAACCATATGAGCGATTCTTAGAATGTTTTTGATTAAGCAGAAGAACCTCGCAGGAGACAGGGGCCCTTAGAGCTGACCTGTATGGAACCTCCACCATAAGACCCAGATATTTTCTTTCAAACTAAACTTAAGTGTGGTTATGTAAACTCTGATCATGATCATTTGAAGGTATTTTGGTACCTCTCAAGTCTAATGCACATCTCACCCATATCACATTTATATCTTAAGAGATGGACACTGTTTGGGCTGAGTTGGAGGTTAATTAGACCGTAACATTTTTAAGACTATATTGTTAAGATAAGAGTTGCTGTGCAGACAGTAGACACAATAAGAGAAACCTTACAGTACATCTTTGTTGAGTTACAGAAATATTGATGGTATCTATAATTTCATAACTTTGTGTATCAATTGTTTCCTAATTACTTCATGTCATGTTACTATTTTAATAAGTGCTTCTTTTTTAAATACCAATGTATTTTGATCCTTGGGAACCCCAGTCAAAAAGACTCATTTGCAGCGTATCAAGTTTTAATGGATACAGTTGAATACATGAATCCAATGTTTGCCATGGGTCAGTCATGTTGTAAGAGATTATTATTATTTCCCCAAATAATAATCATAATAGTTCCTTCAGATAACATCAATTGCATAAATAATAATGTTAATGAAATAAGTTAACATTTTGCTCATAGTGCTTGAAATTGATATACAGTGCATCCGGAAAGTATTCATACCCCTTTACTTTTTCCTAATTTTTGTATGTTACAGCCTTATTTCAATTTGGATTACATTTGTCTTCTCAACATTCTACACACAATACCCCATAATGACAAAGTGAAAAAAGTTTTAAAATAATTTTTACAAATGAGTTAAAAATAAAACACTCAAATATCACAAACATAAGTTTACTTTACTCAATACTTTGTTGAAGCACCTTTGGCAGCAATTACAGCCTCAAGTCTTCTTGAGCATGATGCTACACGCTTGGCACACCTATCTTTGGGCAGTTCCTCCCATTGTTCTTTGCAGATTGTCTCAAGCTCCATCAGCTTGGATGGGGAGCACAGCCATTTTCAGATCTCTCCAGAGATGTTCAATCGGGGTCAAGTCTGGGCTCTGGCTGAGGCACTCAAGGACATTCACAGACTTGCCCTGAAGCCACTCCTTTGTTATCTTGGCTGTGTGCTTAGGGTCGTTGTCCTGTTGAAGGGTGAACCTTCGCTCCAGTCTGAGGTCCAGAGCACTCTGGAGCAGGTTTTCATCAAGGATTTCTCTGTACATTGCTGCATTCATCTTTCGCTTGATCCTGACTGGTCTCCCAGTTCCTGCCACTGAAAAACATCCCCACAGCATGATGCTGCCACCACCATGCTTCACTGGAGGGATGTTGTTGGCAAGGTGATGAGCGGTGCCTGGGTTCCTCCAGACATGATGCTGCCACCACCATGCTTCACTGGAGGGATGTTGTTGGCAAGGTGATGAGCGGTGCCTGGGTTCCTCCAGACATGATGCTTGGCATTCAGGCCAAATGTGGTTTCATCAGACCAGAATATTTGCTTTCTCATGGTCTGAGAGTCCTCTAGGTCAGTGGTTCCCAACCTGGGGGGCGCCAAAGATCGTAGGGGGGGGGGGGGGGGGCGCCAGGCCTCAGATGATTTGACTCCAACAGGAGTCATTTGGGGGGGCTCTTGGGGAAAAAAGGTTGAGAACCCCTGCTCTAGGTGCTCCATGTGGGCTTTCATGTGCCTTTTGCTGAGGAGTGGCTTCCTTCTGGCCACTCTACCATACAGGCCTGATTTGTGGACTGCTGCACAGATGGTTGTCCTTCTGGAAGGTTCTCCCATCTCCACAGAGGAACACTGGAGCTCTGTCAGACTGACCATCAGGTTCTTGGTCACCTCTCTGACTAAGGCCCATCTCCCCCGATGTTCAATTTGGTTTGGGCGGCCAGCTCTAGGAAGAGCCCTGGTGGTTTCAAACATCTCCATTTGCAAATGATGGAGACCACTGTGCTCGTTGGGACCTTCAATGTTGCAGACATCTTTCTGTACCCTTCCCCAGATCTGTGCCTTGATACAATCCTGTCTCTGAGGTCTACAGTCAATTCCTTGGACCTCATGGTTTGGTGTGTGCTCTGATATGCACTGTCAACTGTTGGACCTTATAGACAGGTGTGTTCCTTTCCAAGTCATGTCAAATCTATTGAATTGACCACAGGTCGACTCCAGTCAAGTTATAGAAACATCTCAAGGATGATCAGTGGAAACGGGATGCACCTGAGCTCAATTTTCAGTGTCATAGCAAAGGGTGTGAATACAATTTTGAAATAAGGCTGTAAAATGTGAAAAAGTTAAGGGGTATGAATACTTTCCGGATGCACTGTATGTTGGTAGGATGAGGCTAAAGCTAATTTAAGCTACAAAATACATGTTTACAATATACTAAGCATATAGTTTGGTACATCTTTGATCAGGAATTTAAGAATACACAGGCTAAGCACAGGGGGCTGAACACTATTACCATAAGTCACATGTTTACATATTCATTTTGATGTTAGCTATCCATCCATACATCCAGCAGGCACACCTAATTAACAAAAGTCCAAAAATTACCCCTATTACTTCTGATTTGTCTTCATTGACCCTGAACACAATAAATACGTGTTCTACTGTGTTATGTTAACCAAATACCCCTGTAATTATTTAACATTTAATGTTAAATAATTACTGAGTTGTCTATGGTGGTTCATATTATTGGCTTAAAATCAACTATAAATGTGTGAAAAATAAACCACAAAATAATAAGTATGAGCAACAAGAAGCTAAAATGTTATCATAATGAAGTGAGTGCAATACATCAGTGAGTAGTAGTTAACTACACTTAAGTGTGTTCTTTTTGGATATATATATATCGTTTTTTTTATCAGTGTAAATAAACGTATAAATCCAAACATTTCTTTTTTCCTGGCTGTGCCGCAACTGAAAGCTCTTCTTGGCTCTCTGTGTAGGTGCCAGGATTGAAGAGTTCCTCTATGAGAAGTTGGATAGGAAGGCCCCCTCCAGAAATACCAATGCAGAGCTGCTGGGCCATTACATGCAGGACGCAGCAAAAGAGTTTGGTCCAGGAACTCCTTATGGTGAGTATGCATCCAATAACAAAGTCCAGATATTGGTTAAGTGGAACATATGTAAACCTTTCTAACTAACATGGTTTAAATATTACAATTTAACCATCAAAATGAACACAGTATTATTAATGGAAAAATAATTATCCTGCAATATACCAGTAGTAGATTGGCAACAAATGTGTCCCAAACGCCTTGTTGGAGCTCCTGCCCCCCCCCCCCCTCTCCCTGTGAGCCCACTGTGCTCTGATTGGTCAGCTCGCCCACTCTGTTCTGATGAGTCCACCACCGTTACAGCGGAACATCAGTGATTATGTGTTACAATGGTATTACCAACCAGAAAATGACACCAGTAATGACAAACAGATGAGAATGCTGCGTAGGCATACTTGCCAAGCTTGAGACCTCAGAAATCAGGAGCATTTCAAAACCTTTCAGGCTGAGAAATCCGCAGTGAGTGAGTGTGTGTGTGTGTGTGTGTGTGTGTCCACGGATTGGTCCATTTGGACCTGGGTATCGTTACGTCATCATACTCAGGTAGGAAACAATGGAAAAAGAGAAATGTCCAACGAGGCGTTCTGGGGCAGCATAGACAGGTCTTTCTGTGTTAGAGTTGTACTCGCTACAGGGTGCACTTTGAGGGTTTGTGACTCTGCAGACCGTTTACATGCAGAACAACCTTCATAACACACAAGGGGATGGGTAATAACCGGAAAAGCATGACATGGGACCTTTAAACATGTTTAGGAGTATTTTATAAATAATTTAAATATTTTCTATAACTAATTCTTAGCATTAGTTTAATAAAAAAGCAAAAGCTTTCAAAATGAATGTTTAAAAGGCTTTATGATGATATTCTCCTCTGATTTCTTAGTGATCTTTCTTTTTTCTATTTAGAATAAGTGAGGAAGAATGTGTTAACTTACGAAAAACTGTGTTTTATGTATAAGGTCTATCCATCTCTCTCATGTTCACTCCACTGTGTGTGTCAGGCAGATAGATCAGCCCTCATCCGTGCTGTGCCAAATTAAAGATCATTTTGCTCTCAGAATGTCTACCTCGGGCAAAATTCATAGCTCAATCCAGAAATTAGATCTATACAAGTTTTAGAGCAAAACTGAATTTGACTATTGTCACTCATCATTTCATCTGAATGTGATGTATTTTCTGCAAACAGACTGTGGGATTACTCTTTGTCTTGCAGAAAATGTCACACTCAAATATAAAGGCGTAGTTTAAATATAAACATTTACCAAATAGGGAGTAGGTGCTTCGCCTAAATGAGCTATTTACAAATCGTTTTGCAATATTTGTAGATGGAACAATTGCCCAGGTATTTCCCTACTGGTAAACACCATAAGTTATTTATACACTTTTACATTTGAGAGGCTAGAACCTGCTCACTGGATTAACGGTTGCAGCTAAAGTGAGGACTGTTGCCTCAATGCTAAGACGTCCCTTGTTGTGGACCTAACAGTCTTGAGATTGTTATATTGGTTGATGTGGTTACTATTTTATGAATAACATTTGAAGAATGCTCACACTCATTACAGAGGAATCCATGCGCTCTCTACGTGTCATTGTTAGGCCACAGTAACTCGGCTGCAGGCTTTCTATTATTCATGTGTAGGAAGAGCCACTGAAACATGGTTCGTGTGTTTTTACAAATTCTGATCATTTCAAAAGAGCATGTCTTCACCAGAGATGGGGTCGTTACTAAAAAAAAGTAATATATTACATATTACTTTTTTTTAAAAGCAATATATTACACTACTTTGTTACTCTCTACATAAAGTAGAGTATGTCTCTGAACGATGGTGATTCCATGGGCACATGGGCAACATTTCCTCTACTATGAAGGATGCTACAAGCCTGTCCATCTCTGCTTTGGTTACCGGTCCTCCAAATTCTAATTGTTGCTGCTTCGGAGTCGGCGGCGGCGCACTCACAACATCCTCACTCTGGGTTCGGGGGTCCTTAGCTATTAGCTTCACCTTAGCATGTATTCTTTGCAGGTGTTTGTTGAGGTTTGACCACGTGGTGTTTCCAGCAGTGGATAACAGCTTCTGGCCTGGACACAGTTTGCACCTCACCGTCACATTCCTGTCTATTCTTCAGACGAACTCAAAATAATGGGCATACCTCCACCCCTCGAGAGTTATCGCTGACTCAGCCATGTTTATGCAGCACTGCACGTGGAGATGTGGACGTGCAAATCGCGCAAATACGTACATATAAACCTGCGGCAGAAACCCCTCTTGTCTGTCATTGTGATTATGACTGATTTTAGTAAGTAACGAAGTAACGCGTGTCGGGGCAATGTTAGTAACTGTAGTGTGATTACTGAATTATAAAAGTAGCGCGTCACACTACTCCGTTACCGACAAAAGTAATATTATTACAGTAACGCGTTACACCCAACTCTGGTCTTCAGCAGTGCTGGGTGTAACGCGTTACAAAAGTAACGGAGTTACAGTAATATATTACTTTTTGCTGTAACGAAGTAATGTAACGCATTACTAATGAAATGTGGGTAATATATTACCCGTCACAATGCTCAGTAACACAGTTACAACACATTTCAACCGGAAATGGTGTTTTGTTTTTTAAGAATGTACTAATATAGCGAGACATTCCGACACCAGACAAATTGTGCGGGTAGATTAGTAGACCTGGTGTTTACCCTTCAGGCTTCGCGTCGGGATCTTCGGGGCAGTTGAATGTTATGCACCCTCTATTCAAAAAAGAGAACGGAGCGAAAAATACAAACAACAAATTGTTTCAGGTGCGCGTGACCTGCTCCGCTGCGCGTGCATCATTTCAAAGTGCTTCCACAGCAGTGACACACATCTGTGGATAATCATTTATACGAACATGGTTAAAGCAACCATCACTAAACGCCAGCAACACTGCATCTACTGCAGACAGTAGCAACAGGTCAGATGGGGACATCACGTGACCCTCCGTTGTGGACACTAGCTTACGGCCTGACGCCACCCTCGCCCCCGGAGCAGCAGTCTTTGTCGCCCGAAACTACGCCGCCCCTCCGCGGCCCGCAGGTGCCAGGATACCACGGCAAAACAGAGCCTGCCCAGGTATATCTAAACAAGTACCCGCCTGTACAGTGGGGTTAGGCGGTCATCTTGCAGCTCGTGGTATACAAATAGACAAGGGCTAGAATATTCATGTGAAAATAGTGCCATATTCTGCCATGCCTGTAGAAATGTTGGGTCAAACATAATGCATACAATAGCACAGATGCCTTCACCACGAATGGCTACAGAAAGATCTCATATCCCAAGCTTATCAACAAACTAATGTTGCAGCTGAAATGTTCTCCAGGTCACAAAGTCAACCTCACATGATGATGTGATCCAGTTCTCAAGCACAGTAAATATTCTCTTCCCAGAGGATATGATGGGACCAAAGTGATGTTTAGTACATGGTTTTAATAATACTTTTGCTTTTCAATGTTTGTCATTTCAAACCATGAGCTGGTTCAAATCATATTTGCCTTGATTTACAATATGTTCTCATTTGTTTTATCAGTACAGTTTTGAAGCTGTTGTGCTTTTCTTTGCCATAGTCCACTTTGGACTATATGAGATATTTCAGGATTGCACTTTTAACTCACTTGAAATGTTCTCACTTGCTTGGTTTCAAAACATAACAAATGCCATAATCTGTTCATTGGGGACCATCAATGCTATTTGTCATTGCTGTTGCCGGCCACTATTGCTCATGTAAACCTGCTACTGCTGCGCCCCCTGTAACCTCAGAGGCACCCTGAGTCATTTTGTTCTGGAGCCGGGCCTGTACACGGCCATATACTAAACACACTACAGAGCCCACCCGTCCCCCAGGGACGGGTGGCGCAGTGGTCTGTGCATCTGATCATCAGATCAAGGGGAGTGCTGGGGAACTCCAGTTCGAAACCCGCTCCTGCCGCCACTGCGTCAGGCCGTTGTGTCCTTGGGCAAGACACTTCACCCGGATTTGCTCCTGTGGGTATTGTCCACAGTACATGTATGATACTACTGTGTACTTGTAAAAGCGCCTCGATGACCTCGAGGCGTGAAGATGGACGGTGTGGCGCAGTGCGCTGTGCAATGATCATCAGATCAAGGGGTGAAACCCGCCGCTGCTGCGTCTGTAAAGCCGTTGTGTCCTTGGGCAAGACACTTCACCTGAACTTGCTCCTGTGGGTATTGTCCACAGTGACCATTGCATGTATACAAAATATGTGTAATGTGTATTTGTAAAGCGCTTTGAGCATCTGGAAAAGCGCTATAATAAATGTAAGGAATTATTATTATTATTATTATTATTCTGTGTCCTGTTATTGTTTACTTCCTCTCTGCCTTCTTCTGGTGATTTATCTGACGTCCAGCGCTCCGTCTTTTAACCTCTTTTCCTTTCGCTTTCTGGATCCTCCTTAGCAACCTTCATCATAGTCCTTGACAGTGGTCTGTACTGCTGTATTAACAACGTGTCACATGTTAAGAAGTTACAATCAGAATCGAGTATTCAACTAAGCCGTGTAATACAAGTTGTCAGTAGCCTTAAGGGCCTACACAGTTGTTATGCTAAACCACATTGCCCTTCACTGGATGTATAATGAGCTGCACTAAACTACATTTCAGCATTCAAAATACCTAGCCATTCTTTTGAGGTTATTTTGGTGAAAGTAACTACAAAGTAACTAAAGTAGTGTAACTCATTAAATTTCAGAGACAGTAATATTGTAATATAACTTATTACTTTCAAAAGACAGTAATATGTAATATATTACATTTTGGAAGTAACTTGCCCAACTCTGGTCTTCACAATATGCAGAGCCAAATAATTGACTCCTTGATCTTTTTAGAAAAAATGCAACAGTTATGACGGGCTGCCAGTGACGTACTTCCGGGTCATTTTACTCCGTTAGGAAGGTTCCTAAGCTAAATGGACTATTGGAATGCAACCCTTCTCTTGGCTAAAGAAAAGACAGACAGACTTCATCAGTGAGGAATTTGATACTCAAAAACACCACAATTTAACGCTGGGTTCAAGTTTCCCTTTATTTTTTGATAAGTGCCGTTCCAATTCTCTAGATGATAGGAAAGGAGGTTTCAAACTTCCTTTATAACCTCCTTTAGCTTAGGAACCACTAGACCTCCCTAACCGAAAGGAGAGGAAAAAATGCTGCCCCACAATGCATTGCAGCCGCAGCATTTGCCGTCACAACAGTCGGCCGTTCACGGAAACAACCGATTATGACCGAGAAATGATATCATGAAAGTTACGGTGCTTATTAAGCATTTTAAAACGTATGTGGTAAGTTGCCAAATTGCTTTGTTTTGAACGTTCATCAGTATTATAATCAAAAAGAGAAATATGAACGTTAGTTTTTACTGAAATGATCAAATAAAGTCAACATTTCACAGTCTTTACTGAGCTGTGTGGGGTTTGTTCAACTTTTAAAAGATGTTTGAATGGTGATATACACAGTGATAGATGTTAAGGACTAACGTTTATAATAAATACATCTGTATTGATTTTAAGATATTTTCATAGTTCATACAATCATACGTATTGGGATCATTTGTATTGATGTGGACCGGAGGGAGAGGGTGACGAGCATAAGTTTCACTTTCCTTTTTTATTTCAATTCCAACTTTGGTCATGAAGAATATTTTTCTCTGTTGTCCACACGTTCATAAAGCATAAAGCAACAGCATCAGAGCACGGTGCAGAGTCTCTAGATGAGTTTACAGTAGTCCCTCGTTCTTATTAAACATCCATGTTGTAGTCCGCTGTATAGAGAACTGTAGTTTCCATGGTTTCCCCACAGCAGCAGACGCACATTCATGACGTCCGCTGGCGCATCATAAACACGTCGGATAGTGAAAGTGCAGTCGGATTCTCTAAAGTACCGCAGTCTCTTCTCCTAAGTCCTTTTGAATTCTCCTATCCACTATCCCTTAACCCCGTGACGTTTCACTCAGAGGTCAAGGAATAGGAGATAGGGTTAGAATTTAGGAGCTGATTTTTGGATTATCGGAACGCAACCCTGGTGTTTATTATGATGACATATACACTCGTGTTTTCTTTACTTTGAGTCTTCTGATTCCATATTGGTTCAGCAGAAGTAAAAAAATAAACATACACATTATTTTTTATTTTATTCATTTGTGCAAGTTTTTTAGTAGTGTCAAGAAGTCGACACAAAGCATTTGCAGCACTCGGCTTATAGCGAGGCTTTAGCTTAGACTAGAGCAAAACACAGACGCTGCAGACTGAACTGGGAGGTCTGCAGACTGGGAGGAGAGGACGTTTGAAATAAGGACTTTGTGGTGATTGGATGAAGTCTGTTCTTGCAGGGAGTACTTTGATGGAGGTGGGGGAATGTGAAAGAAGATTAGGAGCTGCAGAGAGGGACTTCCTCCAGACGTCTGCCATCAGCTTTCTCACCCCGCTCAGGAACTTTCTGGAAGGAGACTGGAGGACAATATCCGTGAGTCTGAAACATGACACATTACACCACATCAACATTTCTCCTTTTGAACTGATCAATTGTTCCATTTAGCATCTGAACCAATGGGTCTTTGTGATGCGAGTTGTTTAGTGAGGGTTCTGGTTTTCCTTTTCCCATTGTTCGCAAACTGTCTTTCTATCTAGCGTTTTAAAGGCTCTAGTTGGGATGTCTTATATTAGTCTCTCAGATATAAACCTAAACAGTTTGTTGTCCAGAATGAAATCTTTATCGATTTATAGCTTATGAAGTCTGTCTTATCTCCCCCAGTCTTGGTATAAGCTATGTACAGTAGATGCTTACGCTCACCGGACACTTTATTGGGTAGAACTTGCTAGTACCGGGTTGGACCCCCTTCTGCCTTCAGAACTGCCTTTATTCTTCGTGCTTTCATGTTGTTTACCACAAATTCTGACCCTACCGTCCGAATGTCGCCACAGAAATTGAGACTCATCAGACCAGGCAACATTTCTCCAATCTTTTATTGCCCAATTTTGGTGCGCCCGTGCAAATTGTAGCCTCAGTGTCCTGTTCTTATCTGACAGGTGTGGCACTGTGGGAAATGTGCGGTCCTCCACGGACGCATTGACCCATCCGTACTCACAAAGAAAGAGGAGGGATGAGAAACTGCGAAGCCATTGGCAGAAGGAAGAATTTAGAGAAACATGTAAAATAATACCATAAATCAAATGAAGAATATATTTGCAAAAATTGATAAAAGCCAATCTTAAAGGGGACCTATCGTGCAAAATGCACTTTTTGATGTATTGTATACATAAAGATGAGTCCCCGGTGTGTCAGGGAACTCACGCAGCGTCAGAAAATAAAACCCTCTCTCTTTTCCTCCGTACCCAAATCTCTAAAAACGGGGCTACAACGGAGCTGATCCAGATTTGCGGCCGATATGACGTAATATCGGCGGCGGACCCACGGCACTATCAGAAACGTTGCTATCAGAAACAATGTCCGACTGTTTTGGACGTAATATGGTCGGTGTTTACATTAGCATCGCTAACACTCAGAGCTAACCTGTACTGGAGAGCATGTGTGTGAAGAAGCAGGAAATACAAAGGAACTCACCTTGTGGTATAACCGGCAAGAGAGAAAGCCTTTGAGCTCCATACTGTTTCAGAAACAATCCTTGATCTAATAATCCTTGTTTCATCACCGCAGCATTTTAGACAGTATCTGCCAAAAAAAGCTTTTATTTTTATTTTTTGTATTTATACAGGTCAAAATCTCATTGAGACACAGGAGCCGCGTTCACACCAAGTACTTTGCCGTACTTAGTTATCAGCACTTAGTTCCCATCACTTAGTTCCCCTATGGAACTAAGAGCAGATCGCGTTCACACAGGAATAAGTTCCCTGAGGGAAGATTACGTAAATGAGCCGCTGACGTCACTTCGTCTTCTTCTGCTTTGGGTTTACTGGCAGGCCGCAAACCACTTCACGGCGTATACTGCCGCCCAAAGTCCCCGGCCGGAAGTCCCCGGAGTTGGGGACTGGCTTCAGTAGAAGCTGCTGGGACTCCCCGAGTAAATCGCCAGAACGCCGACACCTCCTCATCTCCACCGCTCCCATGTTTTCTTTTGTGTTGCCATAAGTTTGTCTCTCTGCGTTTGTGCGCTGGGCTAATGCTAATAATGCTAATGCGAGGATAATAAAATGGCAGCTCTACAAAAGATTTCAGAGTTTTATGGGGCGTGGTTTACAATTCTCCCAGCCAATCAGAACTGGGGCACTTTTTTTCCCCCAGGAGAGTACCACCTCTCAGCAGGCACTAAAAATGGGGGTAAAAGTTCCCGGCACTAAGTACTGTTTTTGGTGTGAACGCGACATAAGGGGTACTAACGGAACTAAACGGGAAAAGTACGGGGAAAAGTACTCCGGTGTGAACGCGCCTAGGGTCTCATTCTCAAGAGAGTCCTGTTTATACCCAGAATCAGCACTTTTGTAACAGGAAGTGAGATAGAGGGATATGAGGCTAGACTGGGTGATCAGTTTGGTTTTTTGGCCAAAACACTTCATAGATATGTTTTTATATATCTGAGACCTATGGTATTGCCTAAAAATAGCATGATAGATGACCTTTAAAATGATTAAACAAAGACCTGTTTGTTGCTCCTGAGTGCACACAAAAATAAATAACTACAGATATGTTTTTGAAAACCACCTCGAATATGTTCTCTTTTTTATGAAATGTATTCACTTCAATGTAAACAGAAAGACAGAATTACATTTAAACTGATGCCGTTTTGCATTTCTATAGGTTGTATACAGTAAATATGAGTGCATGGTTTTTTATACTATATCCAGTAATTATGTTAAACATTTTTAGAACTTTGTTTTTGAACGGTCCTTTACAAATATAGTGGATTATTATTATGCCTTTCGACAAAACTTGAAGGGTCGCTCCTAAAACACAAAAGGTATGAAAACTAATTCCACCATGTATTTGGTAAATTGTACAGCTGATATAACACAACACATCTGGTTTATTTCCTTTAAGTGGTGGATAGAGTTGCTGCGGGGGGTTGAGATGCACAGGGTGCAGTGGAGACGCTGCGCACAGCTGATTGACAGCTGGAACACAAACCACCAAATAAATTGAAATGTATTTTGTAAACAAAGTTCTAACTCAAGGTTCTTTATTTTGTCATACGAACATAGCTACAGAGTGGTTATGCCGATGAAAATCTTAGGTCACAGGCTTCTCCAACAGAGCAACACAATAACACCTGCCTGTTTTTAAATAGCTTCTTAAAACCCACCTCTTCCCCTTGGCGTCTTTTAGAGCGTTGCTTTTATTGCTTTTAAATGGTCTATTGTTTTTACTTGTACTTGTTTTATGGTGTGTGTGAGCTGTGCTGTGTTATTTTTTGTATGTATTGTTTTGTTTATTTGACTGTACAGCACTTTGGTCTGGAGGTTTAAAGTGCTTTATAAATAAAGCTGTATTGCATTGCAACACAGAAACAGAAAAAATATATTGCAAGTAAATAGTAAATACAAAAAGAAAAATAGTTTAAAAAAGTGAAATAGTGCAATAAGAGTCTATATGCAAGTTATTGGAATTATATATTAGATAAATAATTTCTAAGTAGCAGATGGATGTTATGGATGTTGGTTCAACAGTTCAGGTGTTTAATAGTCTTACTGCCTGTGGGATGAAACTGTCCCTGAGTCTGGTGGTTGTAGTCCTGATGCTGCGGTACCGCCTGCCAGACGGCAGCAGACAGAACAGTTTGTGGCTGGGGTGATGGGGGTCTTTGATAATCCTGAGGGATTTCTTCCTGAGCCGCTGGGAGTAGAGGTCCTCCATGGATGGCAGCTCCGTCCTGGTGATGTTCTGTGCAGTTTTCACCACCCTCTGTAAAGCCTTACGATTGAGGGCGGTGCAGCTGCCGTACCAGGCCGTGATGCAGCCAGTCAGGATGCTGTTTGTAAATACATGTGCAAACCCAGCTTGGTTGCACTTGGCTTACTATCATTTCCTGAAAGGGAAGAACCTTACGTTACATCTGAGTTACCATGTGTGTCCGGCAAACCTGTTGTGACATTTTACATTTTGTAGCTGTTCTGTCGGCTTTTCCTGCGATCTTCTTCATGCAATCAGTCTAAATGAATATTCATACAGGACGTTTCTTTGACTATGTATAGGCAAATATGGGCGTTACTTTCAACCCGCAAAAGCTGCGCCGCTTTTCGAGTTGATAGTGATTTATAAAGGGAAACCAAACCGCGGAGGACACGCGTCCACACTGTTTTGTATATCAGAATATTTTGTGAGTAGGCACTTCCTTTGTTCCTACGTACGCCATCTTTTCACGTGAATCCTACGCAAAGTTTTATAAATGAGCCCCAGGTCCTCTTCACCATGTCTCCATGCCTAAATGCATGTAGACATGAGGATGAGAAAAAAGAAAGAGCTTTTTGAACATTAAAGCACTTTAGACACTAAATACTAATATGATTGGCAAAATGATCATCTTTAATAGCCTCTTGACCATGTCTACCCACTGATTATATCATTTTAAAGTGATTGAAGTAGTCATGTTGAGTCATGAGGATGGGCTTTTATAATACATTTCTAAAAAGTATCTTTAAGAAGTTTGGGGTCCCCACCAGACAGCAATACTGTTCTTTGGGTCTGAACAATGGAAGAGTTGGTAACAATAGCCTGACAGAGGTTGAATCTGGATTTATATTTTTGTGTCCATGATTTGTTTCTACAAAGGGTATAGAAAACCAGTTTGAGACAAAGTAAAGAGTTCCACAGGTGCAAAGCCTCATTCCTGTCAAATTTGAACGTGGCCACCAGGGGTCAGCATGGTTGCTTTACTCATGCTGACCCCCGGTGGACAGTATTTTCTCACTGTGTCATTGTGTGTATTTCAGAAAGAACGGCGTCTTCTGGAAAATCTGCGCTTGGACCTTGATTCCTGTAAGACCCGTCTGAAGAAGGCCAAGGCGGCTGAGGCCAGGTCTGCGGTGAGTCCTCGCGCAGCCACATCCTGTTTTAAAATGTACTTAAAGTGTTACTGGCATTAACCATGACTAACCCTCTGTGTGTTCATAACCTTTGCAGTGTGACGGGGAAGTGAGTATTAAATGTGGTTTTAAGGTATTTCAGTGTGGTGCACATGTTGGGTTGTTTTTCCTTTCTCACTTGCTCTGAATTAATTATTTGTTCCATGCAATTACTGGTGACAAAAAAATATTAATCATCGGTATAAAAAAAAAAGCAATGGACTGGAAAAACAACTTCGACCTGAAGTTGACACTTTGCAAAGAAAGCTTTAAACTTATTGAAGAAAATGTTACTTCATTATTGGACAATTATTCACTTATAGTCTCTATGACTGTGCTCTGTTTGGTATGCATATGTAACCTGAATATTTATCAAATGTAACTTTAATAGAAATATGTTTTCTGAACAGTTCTTTATATTGCTGCTGTGAATAAAATATGGCGGGTTAAGTGTGAAGGCATCTGTCAGAAAAATATAATAGAATCTGGTCAATAAACAACAAAGACAGAAGGTGCACATAAAGCCAATACAGAGCAAAGAGGTCCTGACTGTGGAGAAGTGTCCAATACAGCCCCACTTTGAAAGACGAAAAAAGCACTGGGTCATTCTGGGCCCTCACAAGTCTTCAGACTGAGAACACACGTACTACATGGTGTGTCCAGCAGGTGGCTGTGCAGCACCTTCAGCCACAGCAGCAAGGAGTTTGGGTTCCTTACACATTGTAATGAATCCTGCACAACATTCTATTTGAGGTTTAAGCTTTGTTTCTACTGCTCAGGCAGAAACCAAGCCATATGCCAATAAAAGAAGATTATAATTCATCATTTTCTTTTCATTTTTACTTTGTTCTATGACAACTAGAAAAGTCTGACTTGTATTAGCACTTCTGTTTTCAGACTGACCATAGCAATTTGGTGACTGCCACATTCAGACTTTTTCTACGTTTATGCATGTTAGCATGTGCATGACAAAGCACTGCTTAAGGCTAAAAATAGAAACAAGACCTGTTTGCAGTGTCAGAGTCAAGTCAGTGAACCGGACAGATTAGTCACTAGTTTCACTGGTGCGAATGTTTACACAGTTGTGTTGCATCATTTCTCTGCACCTTTCTTTTATGATTTCAGACACACCCAATGTTAAAATGTGCTGTCAGGTGTTAACAGGTATGCAACCGCCCCCACGACTTTGAATTTCTAAATCAAGAACAAATTGGAAAGCTTGTATTTAACAGTTTTTAAATTAAGAGAAAAATCTAATTTAAAGTCATCTTTGGGAGACTTTCTGACTTCTATTTAAGAGATGGACCACATAAATTACTTTACACTCATATCATACAATATGATATTAAATGATTCACTTTTGTATGAATATTCTGTAAAAAACTGAAATCTACCCAGTGTTACTAATGCACAGATCGTATACTGTTCCATGTCATCTTACAGTGTAACTCACCAAGATCATTGTTTTATTTCTGCTGAGCTTTCTGATTGTTGTTTTTTTCTGCATTTCTCGATTCATATCATGAGCCAAAGTGTGGTCCACTGAGAACACAGTAGTTTGAATCCCTTACTCTTTCTGCAGACGGCTCCAGATTTTCAGGAGACCAGACCCCGAAACTATGTGCTTTCTGCCAGTGCATCTGCGGTAAGGAGTGATTATTGTAAAACAATCCTGGAAATGTAAAATAATCCTTTTAGAATAATGAATCCACTTTGGGATCAATGTGCACATTCAGAGAGTGCTTTCAAAAATCCTTCAGTACTGTACATCTGCATTCACTTATTGTAAATGGCTCTGAATCGGTGCTTTATTACTGTTCATGGTCCGGATGTGGTAACCTCAGAGTTGCACTCCTGATCTCTGTGTAACGTCTGATTTATGCAGGAATGCTAAATGTTGGCCAACCCTCCACAGCAATCGTCTAGCAGAGCACAAGGATGTCGTTCATTAACCAAAAACAAAACAAGACAGAGAATCTGCCATGGGAGTAGGAGGGTTAAAGGAAGTGTGTTTTGGGTTAAATGAAATATGCTGTATATAATGACCTACTATGCTCCTCCTCTACTCCTATGCAGAGATTAGCAGTTGTAGTCAGTATACCACACACTCACACATATTGTCCATAAGAACGTCATTTTAAAAAATATGACAAAGATTCATACTGAGCGTCACATTCACAGGTTAACACAAAACTAGTTTGACATATCAAGTTATATTTTGGTTGATGCTTCTCCAGATCTAGTGGTGAAGCTCTAATCTAAAGACAAACAATTGTCAGTAAAGAATTTTGAAACCTCACACTGAAGCTGCTGTTTTTGGTGTAACACTTATATTTTATAATAATATATCATTTTATTTTTTGTTATTCATCACCCTCCAATTCCTTTAATTCTTCACGTTCTCCTTCTGTTTCTATTTGTCTTGATCCCCCTTCTATTTTTCTTATCTGGACCAGAAATGGCCAACTGCCCTGGCACTGATTTCTCAGTCTCTTGAGGAACATGGAGCTGTAAATATTATGACTAAGTGCAAGTTACCGTAACAATCCCTCTTACTCAATAGTTGTGTAATTAGTGTGGGGGATTCACGCATCCTAAATTGACTCACAGTGTACACCACAACGAGGTGTCACCCATAGCAACTCAGCCTTTCGAACTAAATATGTGACCATTAAAGATATTTTGTGTAGCACAGACGCAAACAGAGAGCAGCAGCTGGTTGGAGCATTTCATAACTTAATCATCTAATTAACCCCTTTCTCGTTGAAACAAAGTCATCTCCAAATAAGTAAAGTAGTGGCAAAATGATATTTCAGTGTAAATATCAGGCAAAATACAGCGTTAATCCAAAAGCATTGTTTGCCTTTATTGACTATCAGAATACATTCTAAAGACATATTACCCCTAGATTCCACCGGGTCCGTCTGCGTCTCGTTACGGCTGCGCCGCGACGTTCGCAAAGATCGCGGCCACTCTAGTCAATGGGTGCTATTCCACCAGACGCGCCGCGTTACGGCTCAGAAGCGACAGGCAAGACGCTCCGCTTCTGAAACGCGCCTGGTAGGGTATGACGCCGGAGGAGGCCGGACCAAAACCGCGGCGCAGCCATGGCGCGACGCAGACGGACCCGGTGGAATCGAGGGGTAGCCTACCAGTAATGAGAGAGGCTTCTGGCAATAAAACAAATATCCTTGTTATGACTTCTGTTTTTCTCTTCTTCTTTTTTTGTATGCTTTGGCCTCTCAGCTCTGGAGTGAGGAAGTGGAAAAAGTAAGTACATGAATGTTGTGAAAGTGAACTTGGTTTAGATTCCCAGTCTCTACATTCTAGCCCGTGAGCTCCCAGTTCGAGCGACTGACTATTCCCTCACAATGTAGCATTGCATTGGATATGGGCTGAACTTGGCCTGGAATGGAAATGTTCCGGCCATTTCCCTAGGAGGCCTTTGCAAAAATGTGAAGAAAAGGCATGGAAACTGAATATTTTTCAAAATGGCCGACTTTCTGAGGAATGCAATTTGAAAGATGTCCGCAATTTGAAAGATGTCCGCAATCATAAGAGCAATGTGTATACAACGTCTCGTGCATATTGGAACAACCATATGCAAGTAGTTTGGAGTAATTTGCGACGTGTAAATCGGCAAACATTTTATATTCTCAGTTAGCTTACGACCGCCCCGATTGAGCTAGCAACTTTTTTACTACCAATTTAGCATGGCTGTGGATATGGGCTGAACTGGTCCTGGAGTGGGATTTTTTCCGATAATTTCCCTGAGAGCAGTGTGCAAAAATGTGCTCATAATGCATGAAAAATGGCCATCTTTCAAAATTGCCATTTTTGTGGGGGGCGGGGCTAATGACAAGCCATTTGAAATATGTGTGCCATCCAGTGGCGTAGCTGTGGGTGGGCCCAGGCCCACCCGGGCCCACCCACATGCACGTCTGGCCCACCCACAGCCAATCAGCGCTTCATAGCGCAGAGCCGGGAAGCCCAGAAGGAAGTGCCACAAACTGCAGTTCATCTAGTGGCCGACAGGGGATGGATGCAAAAAGGAGCAATTCCCATAGACCCCCCATTAAAATGCCCAACTTTACAGCAGAAATAAACATGTTTCTAGCCTGGATCCAATAAAACGTATTCTGGATATAGTTAGATTCCACCTTCATGGACAATGGAATAGGGAGTGCATTTTTTTACCATGAGTTTTTATAGTAAGTAAAGTAACTTTTGCCGTGAGTGAATGAAAGTATTATTTCTTCTTGAGGTCTGCAGTTTAGCGTGTACACATTTGCTGAATATGAAAACACTCAGTGTGTGCCCACTGTGCGACTGTCAAGGATAAACAACCTGTGGCCGCCGATATATATCGTATGTATTATTGCTACACAAACATTACATTGCTGTTTAAGTGTCGCCAACTCCGTTTCTAATATGCAAAAAGACAGCAAAATGCGTCTGATTATTTTTAGTATTTTCGATCTTTCCAATCCAGTCGAGAGATATACACACACGCAGCTGCTACACTGCAGCAACACACACACACACACGGAGGAGATGGCGGATAGAACTAAGCGCTCCGAGGTGTGGTTAAACTTTACCCGTCTCGATGCTCGTTACCAAAAGTGCAATAAGAGTTTAGCATGTAAGGGCGGTAAACACGAGCAATTTGTCTAAACATTTATCAAAAGTGCTCCACATTCAGACGGAGGAATGCACCGGTTCGACTGTCTTTCTAGTAGCTCTGTAGCCCCGTCCACGAGTAACGTTTCCACGTCAGGTGTTCTGTATGCTAGCAGCAACACACGGAGTTAACTCCATTATACAAACATGGGGTAATGATTAGAGGTAACTGAGTTATTTATTTAGTTAAAGTTTCAGCTATTCTGTTTACAATTCTGTCATCAGATTATTTAATACCATTTGTTAAAACATTGTTTTCTTTTTTATGTGAAAATATTATGTATTTAATTTAAATAAAAAGCAATGTTAGTTTTGTTCACTATTTGTTTAGTTAGTTTACCTTGTTTTTTTCTCCAAAAGAACCGATAAAAGTAATGTTAAAGGACCGGATCGATAAGCGCTATCGATACAAGTAGTAGTACCGTTAAAAACCTTAACGATACCCATCCCTATGTGGATGTCAGTTGTACACACATTCTGAGGCTGCCGTGCCTATGTTTTTGTTTTCACTGCTAATTTATGCTTATGTTCTATTAGTGCATTAAAAAATGAAGTTTCAGCTCAAACCCCACGCTTAATATGTCTCCCCCTGGCCCACCTACATTTCTCCAGGCCCACCCACACAATAATTCCTGGCTACGCCACTACTGTGGCTACTATCATAATAGCAATGTGTATACAGCGTTTCGTGAATATCGGGAAAACTATATGTGAGTAGTTTGGAGTCATTTGCGTCATGTAAATCGTCAGAAATGTTAGCTTATCTCCGCCCCGATTGAGCTAGCAACTATTGTATTCGCAATTTAGCATGATATTGGATATGGGGCTGAACTTGTCCTGGACTGGAATTTTTCCAATCATTCCCCTAGGAGGAGTTTGCAAGAATGTGCTTAAAATGCATGAAAAACGCACACTCTTCAATATCGTCAACTTCCTGGGGGGCGGGGCTAATAAAAGCCAATTTGAAATATGTCCACAATCATAAGAGCAATGTGTATACAGCGTTTCATGAATATCGGAAAAACTATATCCGAGTAGTTTGGAGTAATTTGATGTAAATCGTCAAAAATGGTGTATTCGTTGTTAGCTTACGACCTCCACGATTGATTTATAAAAAATTGGCTTCACAATTTAACATCACATTGGGGGCTGAACTTGTTCTGGATTTTCCGATCATTCCCCTAGGAGAAGTTTGCAAAAATGTCCTTAAAATGCATGAAAAACATTTCAAAATGGCCAAATTTGTCGGGGGAGGGGCTAATGGAAGCTAATTAGAAATATGTCCGCAATTCCATGAGGAATGTCTGTGCCAAAATTCGTGAAGTTCTGAGAAACTATATGTGACTACCACACAATACACAAGTGATCAGTTTTTGTGAAAAATTACGTTTTTTTTTTACAGTCTCGAAAAGGTCGTGGGCTGTGACGTGTGTCCCAAGTTTTGCGTCCGAAGCTCATTTTATGCTATCACAATTTTTAAAAAATGTATAGGCCACGTCCACATTCTGCATTTGTTGCGACACTTTAAATCTCAGTTCGTAGTCACCCCCAGAGTATGTGTAACATTTTTTTTTTTAAAATCGTCCATCCGTTCTTGAGTTATAAATTGGTGGTGTTTTTGGCACCCCCTATAGTCCAAAATGAAAATGCTTGGGTGTGCCTATTCCCCAAGACAGACTGAAGCTATCCACCAAAATCTGTGATATATGGATACATTGTTGATGAGTTATGAGCATTTATTTCTAAGCCCCGCCTTTTTGCGAGTACGTTTTTATTCATGGCGGCAATATTTGTCGTCTGAACATGCTCATTTGTAGGGTAATGTGTCTGACCCTCCACCGATGCTGTATATGAAGTTTGGGTGTTGAAAAACAGAAAATGAAAATGTAAGTTAACATTTCACTGTTTTTGAAAATTATGCTAATTAAAAAAATGTAGGCGGAGCTTAGGGTCCCAAGAGGATTATTTGTAGAGCAGGTCCACCCGGATATGTGTGCAAAATTGCAGGTCATTCAGAGTTACGGTGCGACTTTGTAATGTATTCCGAATTGGGATTTTCATAGGTGGTGCTAGCGAGCACGTTGGATAATTTGAACCCATTGACTCCAGAATATTGTAAGAATATTGTAGTTTTCACCAGTCCTGGCGTCCGTGCAAAATTATACAACTTTTGAAGCGTCCTAAAGGCCTCAAAAACAGGAAACGCCAGCACAAAAAAAAAATACCTAGGATAACAATAGGTTCCTCGCACTTCGTGCTAGGACGGCCGTTGGGTCCTAGCGCTCCGTGCTTGCGCCCTAATAACCTGCTATCATTGTGGCTAGGCTAACAGCATCCATGTTTACATTATTTACTGGCTATGTTGCCATACATTGTCAATTCTGAAAATAACATATATATATATATATATATTTGGGGGGAAATATGCATCAGGGGAAGCCAATGAGAGAGTGAATCACTACTTTGAAGCAGCTGGAGTAAGGAAAGGATGTACAGTTCAGAACTGGGTCGCTAGTTGAACCAACTGTTAAACAAATGAACACATTTCAGTGGGAAAGTGCTATAAAATGCTATCCACAACAAACTGTTTTTGGTGATGAGACACACTCTAATGGGGCTTAATACATTGTAAAACATCTGACACAGCAATTTGTTTAAGCATACTGAGGCCTTAATTTTCCCCCCTATGGATCCAGCTCCGGTTTACTCTGTTCTGCACACAAAGTTACAAACAATTCAGCAGTATGTTTCATATAAATGTACCTTGGTGTAAATTACACAAATGAGTATCTTCTTTTGGTAATAGGGCATGGAAAAATGTGAGACTTCATCACATATAAATCACCAGGCCTATCAGGTTATTATTGTATTGTCAGCCTTTCGTTATTCATTATCATTGCTAGTCATAGTTATGCATGTCTCTAAAGAATCAGGACTTGAGATGTGGAAATGATTTAAAGAAAAACAAAGAAGGAAATATGTCACTGATATGTTCCCTCTGTCCCAGGCCGAGCATGAGCTCAGAGTGGCCCAAACTGAGTTTGATCGCCAAGCAGAGGTTACACGGCTGCTCCTGGAGGGCATCAGCAGTACACATGTAGGTCTGACACACACACACACACACACACACACACACACACACACACACACACACACACACACACACACACACACACACACACACACACAACACAATAACAGTGAATAAGAGACGTGTTGTCTGTCTGCCTGCAGGTGAACCACTTGCGCTGCCTGCATGAGTTTGTGGAGGCCCAGGCCGCCTACTATAAGCAGTGTGACTTCCACATGAAAGAACTACAGAAAGAGCTGAGCAGGTGAGAGTCACATGGTACAAAACGGACGAATGTCGTGGGATTCACTGGGTCAGTGATTTGTATACAATGAAAATAAGCAGTCAACTTCTAGTGTGATGGGATCACGTTCCTAACTGAGAACTCTTGACAAAGAAGCAGCTTGGACTTCCTCAGTTCTACTGTTGTCTGATTCTGTTATTTTTGGTTTGGTCAAATCTTGATGAATCCCTCTCATTGCCTCCTGCCGTCAGTTGTGATGAGAACGTGTGAGTATGGCTCGCCTCCTGTGTGATCTTTCTTTGTGTTTGTTTTGTGTTCTGACACACATTGAATTGCTTTACAATGCTTCTCAAATTCATATGCTGCAGACTGAAAATGATTGCATTAGGTTAATTTCCCAATATGGAACAGAATGAGATTCAGGTCCTTGTTGGCTTGCCAATGAGTTGTTCCTTATTTTCCTGACCATAAAATGATCTTTGCCCACCTGCAGCAAACCAGCAGGGAATGCACAAAAGGTGGGGTTTCTCAAATAAGGCAGTTGAAGAGAGTTGCACAGAAAACTTGTTAGACTTGGGGCCTGTTTCTGGCCAACACCCCTCCGCTGCCCCTTTGCTGCTCTTATCAACGAGATCAAAATATATAAAATATCTCGAAGGAAAGGTTATCACCGGATGATGGTTAAAATGTAGACAAACTATTCAATAAAATATATATATTTTATATAAATATTTGATTCTAACTAGTTTTATTCTACCTTCTATTGGACATTTTACTTTAACTTCTTGTTTATATAATATCTTAATTGTATTGAATATTTGTATAATGCACATTGTAACTTGTGATGTTTAAATATTTGTATTCTATATTTTTAAACTTTTATTATATTTCATTCTAAATGTCTCAAAGCCCAATTTTCCCCCCAGGATCCTTAAAGTCTTCTGATTCTAATATCAGACTGATGTGTTATAAATGTCCTTCCTGCTGCTAATGCAGGTGATAAAGATCAACATCCACAGTACAGCACAGTCCACTGTGGGCCTGTAGATGTCCTGCAATTGAAATAGTGTAATAATTGTGTCGGCCTCAAGTTTTCTCGTCAGCATTGAGTTTTGATGGAGCATGACTAATCATTTCTTCAGTGTCATATGTTCCAGTGTAGACGTACTGAAGCATAACTCAAGATATGTTTGGTTTTCGGCTGTTGTGTGATTCTTTTTGTACTATTATTGTGTTCTTTTTGATCTAATATGTATGTTCTCCGCCTGCTTCCCCTCAGGCTTCCCAATGCGTTTGCACTGAGCTCCCACTCACCCTGCAGCTCCGGCATCAGAAGGCAGCCCGCTGGAGACGGACACTCTGAAGATAGAGGAAGTCCAGGCCCCGGCTACAGGGACCCGCCAAGGCCAAAGTCCTTTATGATTATGATGCTGCTGACTCCAGCGAGCTCTCCCTTCTAGCTGACGAGGTAAGATTTCATCATCAACTGCAGCTGATGTGTTGAAAAAGGGCCACAAGCCAGAAATGTCACTATGCTGATAAGGGATGATCCTAATATTAGCCCCACAGCCGGTAGTGTTAGAGCAGCCGAAGGGACAGTGGCCCTTTATCCAGTGGACCGGGTTACTGGAACTCTCAGTCTGCTATCTTAGATCTGACATCATATGCCCATGCTTTTGTGAAGACACAATGTAGTCACAGCAAGGCAGGTACAATTTGAACGAAGGTTTATAAATTGATCGACCGGTCCACTATCGACTTGAGTATTAAAAAGTAAATGCTGCATTCAAAATGAAGTTACACACCTACAAACCATGGTCTAAAACTTCAGACTTCCTTCATCTGCTGGCATAATGTAAGGCAAGGCAAGTTTATTTATATAGCACCTTTCAACACAAGGCAATTCAAGGTGCTTTACAAAAATCGTAGTTAAACCTATTTGTACATGCTCTATGAAAACTGCGTTTCAGCATTATCCCCTGTTGTAATTAACCTTAGCATAGTTCAATAATAACAATATATACAAATAAAGATGATAAGTCACGTAAACGATATTCAAAGAATATGTATCTGTCTGTTTTTGAAGAGACTGTATACCATGGGTGTCCAAACTACGGCCCGGGGGCCGACTGCAGCCGTGATCCATATTTAATTGGCCCGCAGCTAATTCTAAAAGTCTAATGGAATATGGCCAACACATGAAACTTCTAATATTGTACTTCTTAAATATATATGTTAACATATATTGCAGAGTAGTATTCATGTGTTAATACTACTATTGTTAGAATTTTTTCTAACAAATATTAGTTGATAACAAAGGCCCTATTCCCTTCCTATTTCCCCTTATTATAATCAATCTGAGGCGTCTGTTTTAAGGGAGGAGCTGGCAACACTGTTAGTAACAAAATAAATGAAACCCTCTGGAGAGCTGGGATGGAGGCAGTCTGTTTCTTAAAGCATATTCAAGTATAGTATTGCTCTAGTCCGTATTGCGATTTTGTTCAAATGTTGGTTAATGTGCAGCCTTAATTATAACACCCCCGACAAGCACATGGCACGATACCATCCCCCACATGTATTGTCTTAAATGACATGTTCTCCTTGTTTCTGATAATGCCATGTTCTAGGGCCTCCTTTCCCCCCGTTATTTTGGCTCCTAGCCATATACCTTGAAGATAAGTCTCATCAGTGACCATGCACTCTGTGTTACAGCTCATCACAGTGTATACAGTGCCAGGGATGGACTCGGACTGGCTGATTGGAGAGGAGAGGAAACCAGAAAGGAAAAGTGGCCTGTCACATACCTGGAGCTCCTCAGCTAAACAACACAGATGCACTGACACACATTACACGCATACCATTGACTCATAAGTGTGTGTGAATACTACTGAAGCCATGGTATTTTCATTTGCTTTATACATTTGACACCAACCTGTAAGTTTAAACATCACAGCTCCTCAGTAAGCATTAGCAAAAAAGTGTTTAAACACAACACTCCCATCCCCACACTGGAGACATTGTTACAATGTGTGCAGGAGAATCAACATTCCTTTTGGATCCGTTTGGTTGATCATTATGAGGATTTTCTCCCTTTTCTTATTTATTAAACTATTTATTGTTGTGCATCCCAATAGTTCACGTAGACCTGTCGTACTGTCATTAGGGGGATTTCCATCAACATTTGAATGTGACTCCATAGACCTCATGGAGTTTTTGTCATGGAGGAGTGGGGATCAAACTGAACACATGATTCTCCTGATAAAGGGCTGATGTACTTTGTCCTTGTCTTGTCTTGTCCTCATTAAGAAGTGAAAACAAAAGTGGACAGAACACAGATTGTTGACAGACGCTTCCTTATTGTGTTGTGTTTCCTTGTGAAATGTCCTGAAACTACCAGGTGTATTATTCATTTATAAATGCAAATGAAAGATTGACTTCTTCCTACTTTGCTGCAGAACTACATTGTGTTCCTCCCTGTTCTTCCAATACGACATGAACAGTAAAGCATGTCTTGTATCTTTTGCATCCTGAAAAAACAAATGACAACACTAACAGCTTTTTTCATGGACGTTTTTTTTGCATCCTATCATCCTCAACTCTTGAAAACAGATTTGCCTTAACTGCTTTTGAGATGAATGTAATAAACTGTTATCTAAAGCCATCGAGTCACTATTGTTTTGATTAGACTATTTTGTGCCTGGCGCACCTTTCCACGGCACTGGAATGATGTCCCTTTGAATTTTAAACACCTTTAAAAATAAATAAACATGACCTTGCCCTAACTGCCTTAACATGATGAGAAAGAACTGCTAAAGCCCAAAAATGTGCTTCTCTCAACAAAATTGTCTGACACTTGTACACGACTGCATGCAAGACTGCAACTACTTTAAGCACGTGTGTGTGTGGGATTTTTGTTTGCCCCTTTTGTGTTTTCTGAGTTAACCACGATACTGTCTGTTTGTACAAGTGTCTTCTGTCTTAGTGCTGGCATGTGCTACAGCAGCCTGTCCTGCTGGACATGTGTTGTTGTGGTATGAGTTTATGAAGTCTGTGGGAACTGCAGCACCCAAAATGTTTGCATATATCTGATGTGCTATCTGACATCCGGTATGTGTACATGCACGGAATGCACATGTCTTTTGACCCACCAGATTCGTCTTAAGGGTTTGTGAAACTGGCTGTCATCAAAGAAGAAGTTAGATGAACCTGAGCTGTGTGGTGTCCTCCGTCCTGCTCTTTACTCTGTGCTCATTGCATTTATTTCTGTTCAAAATGTTTTTACTTATACTGACTGTTGTGAGTCTGTTTACCTCATATTGTAGTAGTATTATTATTATTATTATTATTATTATATATTTTGTCAAAAATATGTATTGCCCCTCCTTACCCATGCTCAATGAATGGATAGGATTGAACTTAATAAAAAGTAAGATTACTTGGATCTATTCATTTTCACAGCTGCTATATTATTTGTCATTGACAGCCAAAAACACACTATGTTCTCTCTCTCTTTTGTCCTGATCCATTTATATAAAAACCTGTCTGTAAATGAGCTGATCAGATTTTTGCCACTTTGTGATGTCACAATTACACAACAACCATTAGTCAATAACCAACCAAGGTAACACCCACCCACCTTATCACCTGAATCTCCTCCTTACGGAGCCCCTAAAGCAGTGGTTCCCAACCTGGGGGGCGCCAAAGATCGCAGGGCCTCAGATGATTTGAGGCCAAATATCATATTTAGACTTTTTTTTTTTTTTTACACATATAATTGTAAGGCAATACATGATTGTCACTAAAGGCCTTGTCTCTACATTACAATAAAATATACAAAGTAATTGATTAATTAATTTTAATAAAAATTCAAGTTAGTAACTAATAAAGGCATAACCAGACAGAAATGTATAATTCTTTCTTTAATAGAAATATTCTTTCTTTCTGTCTGGATAAGTGTGTAACTACGGAGCCCCCTAGGGGACATGGAGAAGAAAAAAAAGAATAATTTGAACAAAAAAATAAATAAATGTTTTGCGAGATCTCGCAATACTTTTCATTTAGTACTTCCTGGTCAGTTCGGCTGCTACGGCAACACAGAAACCACAACAATGGAGTGGTTCATCGATTTAACTTTGAGCTTGGCCTAAATATAAAGATACAACATCAGTGCTTGGCAATAGGCACGGGTTTCACACAGACTGTATATATAGAAAGGGTTTCACATAAGTGAAGACACCTCAAGAAAACACTCAGAGCGAGGGGACATGCACGTTCCTCTGAGCTGAGTTATTAACAGATTCGGATTTCGCGGATCAATAACTTACGGAGCCCCCTAGGGGACATGGAGAAGAAGAAAAAAAATTATTTGAAAGAAAATAAAATAAAATGTTTTGCGACATCTCGCAAAACCTTTGCGAGATATCGCAAAACCCCTTTGCAAGATCTCGCAATACTTTTGCGAGATCTCGCAAACACCCCGTTGCAGTTTGTAGACGGTCCCTAAGCACTCCTCTCCCTCCTCCAGCTGCGGATTGTGACCAATTATTGATGTTTAGCTCGGATGACGGCGCGTATCGAACTGTTCTGATAAAAACGACTCTGTAGCTCGTTGTCTACCTTGCTATGATTGTAAAGTCATGTTGTTTGTATTTTTACAAACGTTTACAACAATTGAGTGGCCTGTGTTCGTCGTCCATTACATACGCCTGCCCATACCATAACCCCACCACCACCATGGGCCACTCGATTCACAACATTACCCTAACCCTACCCCTAACCCTACCCCTCACACCAGATACTGACTGGTTTTCGGACCCCCCCCCCAGACCCCCCTAATAAAGCAAAACTGCACGTTTCAGAGTGGCCTTTTATTGTGGCCAGCCTAAGGCACACCTGTGCAATAATCATGCTGTCTAATCAGCATCTTGATATGCCACACCTGTGAGGTGGGATGGATTATCTCGGCAAAGGAGAAGTGCTCACTATCACAGATTTTTGCAGATTTTTGAACAATATTTGAGAGAAATGGTTATTTTGTGTATATAAAAAACTGTTTTAGATCTTTGAGTTCATCTCATGAAAAATGGGAGCAAAAACAAAAGTGTTGCGTTTATATTTTTGTTCAGTGTAAGTAATCATGTTGAAATATGACATTATTTGTAATATACACACATCTTATTGTGAGGTTGATTTCACATACACTACTTCGACATTAGCTTGTCTACATACTTGAGCATAATAATTCCTTACATTTATAATAGCGCTTTTCCAGATGCTCAAAGCGCTTTACAAATACACATTACACATATTTGTTATACATGCAATGGTCACTGTGGACAATACCCACAGGAGCAAGTTCAGGTGAAGTGTCCAAGGGCTTTACAGACGCAGCAGTGGCGGGTTTCACCCCTTGATCTGATGATCATTGCACAGCGCACTGCGCCACACCGCCCATCTTCACGCCTCGAAGTCATCGAGGCGCTTTTACAAGTACACATTGATATCATACATGTACTGTGGACATTACCCACAGGAGCAAATCCGGGTGAAGTGTCTTGCCCAAGGACACAACGGCCTGACGCAGTGGCGGCAGGAGCGGGTTTCGAACTGGAGTTCCCCAGCACCCCCCTTGATCTGATGATAAGATGCGCAGACCACTGCGCCACCCGTCCCTAGCCAATTTAAATTAACCTTAGCGATGCATACAGTTCCTACCTACATAATAAAATATCTCTCTAAATTACAAGGATGACCTTATTTTATCAACCTCAAACAGAAGCCGTTTGTTGTACAGTATTATCCCACTTAACGCGTAACACTTCGTTTTAACTTTTAACATTTATATATATAGTCTATGTCGATTTTAACTTGGAGGCTACTATTAGCATCGTTAGCACCGATGTAGCTACCACTCGCTTACACGCTAACCCAAGCCTTATCATTCATTACATAGCTGATTAAAATCATTAACACATAAAGTACTTGAATTTCACTTACCGCAAAACCGCATTCATGCACCGTCTGTTTTAACCGCAGAGCGAGTCACAATAGTCCGATATATATGGGCATAGATATGTCTCATAATTATTTGTATGAACATAAAAATAATTTGTGTGTAAATATGTGATTTGTAAATGTAAAACAACATCCACAAATGCATTTAAAAGATTTGCAAACTCACAAATACATTTGCAAGTGTAAAACGGATCTGCAAATACGTTAAATATGTTCACAAATAAAAAAAATATCTGTGAATATCTCTTTAACATTTACACCTTTCGATCAGGCATTTGTGAATCCATTTTGTATTTGTGGACCAAAAATGCGCTTGCGGATCTCAAATCTCTGTTCACGGATCGTCTTTTTACACACACAGAATTTTGAGACATATTTTCCGCCGGTCTCGGCTAAAATCTACTCGTGTCACTCGGTTATTTTCGGAAACCACGTGATGGCCTGCTGATGACGACATTTCCGCATGATTTCAAAGTAAGAGCATGATGGTTTGTTTAATGCTCTGTTTTTGTATTATAATGAACAGCGGAACGTTAGATGCATTCTTTATCACCATAACCCTGACCTAAATACGGTGCTTTTCTACAGATTACTTTATTACTGCACTGGTAAGGTAAAATTAGGCCGATTAATAAGATGTGAAGTGCTTTGTAACTTCGACCCGCTTGACTGAATACACAACAAACAATGAAGAAAGAGTTTTATCTGGGCTGTTTCGCTGCCAGCTGCTCCCCCGGGACCCGAAAGTGGCGTATAGCCTGCACTTCAACATCAACGAAAGTGCTCGATATATGCTATATTGAACCAA